ATTGATTTTTTTAAATTTTAAATTAGAATTAATTTCTAAGGCTCTTCCTTGCCCTATGTCAAACACTCAGAGCAGCCTCTCAAAAAGTGGAAAGCAATTCACCACGAGCCTGTTTCTGCTTTGTCTGGCATAGCTGTCTAGTTTTGTCCCTTCCATTTAGAATATGCACTTGAAAGACTTCTGTAAGTAACTTCTGAAATGGATGGAACTCCCTGTGAGAAAGTGTCTGATTGCAACATTACATTGCAAAACCAACTTTTTTTTGTGGTGATGGAACATATCTATTGTAACCAGAATTGTATTTGCAGTATCATGAAAGCAATTTGTAAAGCTAATGGAATATGCAGGACTTCATGTGAAAACTTCTGAATACAAAGGTTTTCATCCAGGTCGTCTTCAAAAGGATTTTTTTCATTTTGTTGCAGAAGAACATGAAACAAAGTGAATATGAATTTTCTGCATTTGGTGAAGTATCTGCTCAAGTTGAAGAAATCAAGTAGCTCTACTTGATTTCTTCTTGTTTTGGCAGCTTTCTGCTCCCTCAGGCTGGAACAACTCTGTTCTGTTGGGTTTAGTGGCAGAACTTTGGTGAATAAAAATCTGAAATTGATCACCACAAACTCTTTTTCAGATGCCAAAAAAAAATAATACCCAAGTTATCACTTTGCTTTGCAAGTTCACAGTGGGTAGACCGCAATGTTTGCTAAAGGTGGATTTTAGAGAGATGTTGTTTCTGTCAGGGTTAAACAACTGAGTGACTTAGGAATGCAGTAAGCTTTGAGACAGTATTGAGTTCTTCAGCAGTGATTTAGAGGCCTTTTTCCAGTGTGATGTTTCAAAAATGCTGTTTCTTTTAAGAATATAAAGTGTAAACGAATGAGTTGCAATACAAAGGCAAACCTTTGTGGGTTGCTGTAGGTAGCTTTGATTATGAAATTCTCTTGCCTTTGATAGAGCCCTGTAAGGTAACATAAGCATAACTGGTTTGCCTGGCAGTGTTTTGGGACAGAGAGCTGATGTCCAGAGCACATTTGCACCACACCACAGTGGCCTGTGTATTGCCATCAGTTTGTTTTATAGCAAAGTCCTGGAGCCTATGTGTTCATCATTTCCTCTCCATCGAATGCTTCCAGTCCTTTATTGCCTGCCCCATGGCACAGCTTTGCCCAGTGAAGTGTTCATTGCAGATTTTATTAGTGTTAAGGCTGCATCAATTGACTCCTCTTGGCACGCAGGGTCAAGCAGGCTGCGTTGGGAGTTAAAAGTTCAGCACGGTCAGTGGGTTTCTCAGTCTGTCTGTACAGCTACAGAGTGAGTTGTTTGCTAAGAAGGCTCAGTTGAAGTGTCTGTGCAAAGCACTGGGTGGAATGCTTGCCACAAATCTGCATCAGCTCATGTTTCTTTAATATCCAATTGCATTAAAAGAAGGAAATCACATAGCGTTTCAGTAGCACCAGATGGGAAGAAACCATATGTTGTATCTGTAATTTTGGTTTGTGACTAAATAGGATGGGGAAATCTGGAAAGCTGTCGTGGAACTTTTGTATTTATAGTACTTTTTTCTTGAAATACCTTCTTGCTTCTGCTGTGCTCGACAACAGTGTTTTTACAGTCTGAGGGAGCGTCTGCATTCTCAGGCTGTTCTCTGTTCTCCTGCCATAAGTGGCTCTGCTGACCTGTGCACACTCATCTGAAACCTCAGCATGACCCAGTCCCTGTTTCTGCTCTAAGAACAGGCACAGCTGAGTTTGTCGAGTGGAAGTCTGTGTTGCCTGGGGGGCAAACCTCTACCTGAAAGAGATATCAAGATGCAGAATAAATTCACTAGGAATTTTTTTTGTCAAGAAGCAATCTTCTTTTTTTCCCCTCAGTTCCTAAACAGTCTGGAAGGAGCAGATCTCTTAGGGAAACTTAGTGTGCTGACAGCCTCTGCACCTCTTAGGTGAAGCCTAGAGAAGTGTGTGATATTTTTATCCGTGTCAAGCCTCTAGATCATTTGATTTCTGCCCCCCTGTCCAATGTATTCATTTGCCACATCAAAAATATAACTCAGGAAGAGGAAAAACCAGAAGGATCTGAACTAAAAGGCTTAAATTGCCCCAAAATGCCTTTTTCCAGGGCAAGTGTATACACTGATTACAGAGTCATGGACTGAAATTAATTTCCTGAGGACTCTCTGTCATTCACATATCCAGGTGTGTGGATAACAAAATAACAGGGCTTTATGCCAAAGCTTTCAGATGTATTTGTGGAGGTAGCCTGTGAATTCATAGACATTTATCCTCCACCTAAAGTTCTTGAAATCTTCCTAGAACTCCCAGAATGGGGATAAGATTGTTCTCATTTCCAGTAAAGAGAATTCAGAGATGCATTTTAATTCTGAATGCTGCCAACATGTGGGTGATTGAGGTGTAGCAGTGGGTGGTTCTCAGCAAACACCTGGTTCCTTTCAGTGTGAGCTTTAGCTTTTGTCAGTTTTACTTTCAGACTTCCTTTCCACTTCCTTCTCATCTTCCTCACTAATTCCTGCCACATTAACACGCTGTTATTTTCTTCACTTTCTTTCCAGTTGCCAATTTCTCCAGGATAGCATTAGACTGTGCCTAACTGTTGTTTTTGTTGGGGGTGGGTTTTGTTTTGGCAGATGTTTATTGAACAAAACAAGATGAAAAGGCAAAGTCAATTGCTTCTGCAAAACTCTGCTCCTGATCAACAGCTTTTGAAGGCTTTGGATGACAATGCTAAGCTAACCCAAACATTAGAAGAAGAGAGGCTTCAACACCAGCAAAAGGTACAACAGAATTACTTTTCATCTCATGCAGAAGCCTTTGAAAGCCTCCTGAGTTAAAGGAGTGTTATGCCTTTATTATGTTCAGAATTATTTGAGATCTTATCCCTTGTAAGAGTTCAGAGTTTAAAAACTAAATTTCAGAGAAGATTGTGATTCCCTTTTTCTGGGTCACTGGTAAGACATGAGTATAAAACTTGAAGGTTTTTCAGCCTGAAGGCTCTAGTTAAGGTAAGGATTTTATTCTGGATGCTGGTAAAGTGCAATTACAAGCAGTAAGTCAAGTTCCATTAAGTGAAGAGATGACAGAAGAATATTTTGGATGTTGAGTAAATATAAAGGGTATCTTGGGGGATAAGGTAAGAAGACCAGGAGGTGAGAGGTAGGGAGTTCACATCAGTAGTCTGGTGTCTTGCTAAAGAAATGGATGGGGAAAAGCCAAACATATTGGAGCAGGGAAATGTAAGGTGAATACTGCAGTGATGTGTGATAGGATCTACACAAATGGATTCTTTGAAACTAGACTGGATCAATCTCTTATCTGGGAGAAATCACCACTGCTTCCCTTGAAAGCCTAAAAATGAGCCCTGAGGCCTGTTCTTAAAATTCTGGTAATAGGGTAATTCTAGGAACAGGCAAACAGTTCCTGTCCTTTCATCAATGTATGTAATCTCAAATGCTCCCGAATGAGTATTTTGGAAGAATAATTGCCAGTTCATAGAAAACCTCTGCATCTTTGGCTACTTGAAGTCTAGAGAAAAAATGTATATATTTAGGGAGCTGGGAAGTTATTGCTGCTCTGCATCTTAATGCTGCCTCTGAATCAGAGATTCCATAATTCACCCACTGGCACCTGCATGAGCTGAGACAAGGGAGTTTAAATAACCAGGCTGTCAGTGGAAGCAGTCAGTAAGAGAACAAAAATGTCAATGTTCTCGTGCTTCAAATGATGAAATGTTCTGAAATTAAATTATAATTATGTGATAAAAACTCCACGAAAAGAAAAAGGGAGCATCTTACAGCTTAAGTACTTTGGAGCTAAAGATGTATTCTAAAGAAGAGATGTAGCAAGTTAGGATCATAATAGAAGATTCTGACATCTCTCAGAAAAATCTGTCCAGTTCTCATTCAAAAACTGTCATCTTTCTGGGACTACAGTTCACTCCTATACTATTCTGTTTTCAGACATAACTACCTAGTGGGTTATTTGTCAACAGGAGGGACACAAAATACCTTTTATGGTAATGAATGATCTTGTTTGCCAACTGCAGATCAAAGAGTTGGAAGAGCAGCTAGAGAATCAAGCACTGCATAAGGAGATTAGTCGTCTTAAACAGCAGCTAGAACTTTTGGAAGAAGATAAAAAGGAACTAGAGCTTAAGTGTCAGCACTCAGAAGAAAAAGCTAGAGACCTAAAGCATTCAGGTAAAATCATGTAACAAGCTTCATTTTAAGGTAAAGTGTGTTTGGGGCGTGATTTGTGCACATCTAATGGAATTATAGATGTTATGTTTGAGACTCCAGAAGCTTTTGTGTAGATGTGATCCAGACCTATGCTTCACTAGACAACCAGCAACTGCCTTCAACTGCAGAACAATCATGTCCAAAATATGTGTGAAAAAATAACCTTGTAAAACTTCTTCAAGGGATAAAAATACTGTTGTTAGATTGCCCTGAGTCTTAAAGAGGGATCCATACACAAAAATGGGTGTCTGTGTGAAAGACACAACCCTTCATACTCAGTCAGAGTGTATCCTCTTACCTAGTTTATAAACAGTGATAAAGTGGGATAACTCTAAATAGTGGTTTATCAGACTGTGGAGTCTTCATTTCATGAATTGTACAAAACCACCCCATAATTATCAAGCTGTACAACCATGTAATAGCCTTGCAATAGAAGACACCAGTGAAAATAAAGACATGATTTAGTTCTTCATATGGACATGCAAGAAAACCATTTCTGTTGATGTGAGAGGGTCTGGAGGGGTGGGTGGTATTTTTTGGGTTTGGTCTTTCTTAAAGGATGAGTACTGCCTTCAGAGTCCTACAAAGGGAGTTAGTCAAACAAATCCAGTGGGCTGTTACAGCTCCTATCTGTGAGAATTGCACTTCTAAATTGCTTCCTTGTGGTCAAATACTTTGCTGCACATCAGTGATTGAAAGGGAAGAAACAGTCTTGCTAGCTACTGTGTGTAGCTGTCTCTTAAGATTAAAACTAACACCCAAAGAATACAAAAAGAAAAAATGCACAGAATTTTAGCAGGAAGCAGCTGTTGCAGTGCAGGTTCATACAGTTACTGTGGTCAGGAAAGGGCCTGGCTTGTCTGCAGCATCCTCTCCATCGAATGAGGAAATTTCTGATCTGATGCTTAGAATTGAAAACTGGATTTAAAAAGGGCTCCTGATGTGTTTGGCTTCACTATAGGGAATGTGGGGCCATGGCTGCTAAGAATTTGCATGTGCCTTTGCTTTCAGTCCTTGTTCAGCTCAAGGCCTAAGCAAGTGCTGGGTTTAAGTATGGTACCTAGTCAGAGAAGCCTTTGAGCCCCTGTCACAGGAGGCTGAAGTCCCTGTCCTTAGTTCAGACTCCACATGTAGCCCTGTTTTTCTGAAGCATACCCTTAAGAGCAGGGTTTTTGTTGAGCTGGTTGGCAGTCTTGCATGGAAAAACTGCTTTGTGTTAGAGTTTTACATGACCCCAGCCTTAAAAACGTGCTTAGGCAGCATGTGAGTTCTTCTCATCTGCCTTGGAGAAGCGCTAACCTTCACAGGAAATTCTTTCTTTTCAGGCTTGTTTGGCCTTCTGAAGGAATTTTTCAGCATAAGGATTGTACCTGGAATTTCAAGTCACTCAGTTGATTTTTAATTTGTTTCATTTTTAAATTTAAAACTAAATGTAAAAGAATGTAAGTGTATTTTAATTTCCATCCATCAGTACAAGAACAAAGAACCATATCTACATTGCAAATTGTACTTCTGTCATAATTCCTACTGTATGCAGAACAATTGCTAAGAATTTTTGTAACTAAAAGAAATTCAAGACTTTTTTTTTATCTGTTTCTGCCCTTCACTGGTTAATTACATTTAACAGCATTTCAAGTGCAGAAAAGTAATTTTCGCATTTTAGATCTGACATGAAAACAGGAGAGAAAGAATCCATTCTGCTACCACCCAGTTTTGACCATTTCTATGGGGAAAACCCACACTATCAGGAAGACAGAGATAAGTCTGGAGGCTGAAATTGTCAATTTCTTTCATCTCTTATTAGTTCATTCTCAAATGCAACCTCAAATAGACCATTGCAGGGATGTGATAAAGGTTTCCCTGCTCTGTCATTTTATATGAGAAATCCTGTATGAGGAAGAGTTTTAGTTTCAAAAGTAGCTCAGGTTGGAGGTAACTGGTTTAATGGGAATCCTGTGCATCTAGGACATTGTTCTTGGTAGAAAATGTCAATAATATGACTTCTTAGTGGTTTAGTCATGTTGGTTGATCTTCAGTTAATTAGTAGGTTTTTTTCCTTAAACCATCAGAGTTGGTTTTTGGAGGAAATATGAGAAACCAAGAACTCACTCTAGTTTGTTTTATTGCTCTTGTGCAGTTGATGAACTTCAAAAACGAATACAGCAGTCTGAAAATCCTGTACCACCTCCTCCACCACCACCTCCTCCTCCTCTTCCTCCTCCCCCTCCTCCCAACCCTATAAGGTAAGTGCTTAAACGAAGGGCACAGCATTAGTGCTTTGCAGAGGCAGGATGCACTACATGGATGAGTTTGCATCCAAGCAGGAAGAGTGTCTTTAAAGAAAAAAAAGGCTTTCTCCACCTGTCTTGGGCTCTTTACCATCTACTTGCCCCACCTGCCAACAGACTAACACCTTGGCCAATTCTGAACAGTGTCTGCCTTGCCAAGCCTAGCAAATTGTCTAGACTGTGACTTTGGAGGAGGAGGGATACCTGTCTCCTCTAGATTTAGGAGATTATTTTTTCCTATTCACCTGATAGCTGTAATTACAGACTTGTGAAATGCTTTCTAGTGCAAAGAAAACTCCTTTGAACCAAAGGATATGTTGGATTACTGTGTGTGCCTTTATGTCGGATGCTGCTGATGAAAATGCAGCCTCTGTTGAGTTCCCACTATTAATTTCATGAGTCAAAAGGAAATAAACCAATGCAAACAGAAGATCACCACCCTGTGGTTGAGCAGTTTTGGGTGAAATTATCAAAATTGGGCCTGTTTTTTTGCAAAGGACTGTAAAAGAGGCTGAGCAGTCTATGATGTATCAGGCATTAGACCCAAATGAATTAATTAAGCCCTAAAGGGTGCTTAATTAATTTTAGAAATTCAGCTGATATTCATGTTGTCTGCTTGGTTTTAAAAATAAACGGACTTTGAGGACACTTTCCAGTCCTCTATAACAGAAGTGATCTATAACACAGAGGTCTTGTTACCTACTGTGTTAAGTATGTGAATAGAGGTGATTAGTAGGGAGAATTCATCCTTTTGTGCATCTTGCACTGTCCTTAGAAACTAAACATGTTCTGAGCAACTGTGATTGGTCTTTTGCTTCTTTTACATCCAATAACTCATTTGGCTTGCTTGCTTCTTTCTTACTCATGTGTGACAAGAATTAAGTATGCCGGGATGTTGTGGGGGTTTGTTTTGTTTAGATTTGTGCCTTTTACTATTTGGAATAGATAACACTCTTCATCTGAAGCCTTCTAGTAGAGCATTTCCTCATGCAGTGTGATGTTTACGTGCATAGAGGTTGTTTCAGAGCACTGGACACTACTCTTTTCTGGGACAGAGTTTTGCCCCTTTATGCCAGGGATGTCACAGTGCTCTGTATGGAGCAATGTTCAATAGGGAATGATATGCCCCACTGACACATCAGATGTGCACAGGAGTTTATACTTGGGCTTGAAGATGAGGAATTCCCATGCCTGGACTTTCACATTTCGACTATAGCGAGGGGATAATTATTTGACACTGTAAGAAGATTATAAACTTGGAGATGGTGAGGAGATACTGATCACCATATTTAGGTGTCCTCTGGAGAATAATACTTCAATATCTCCAGCTCTTCTTTCCATTTATTATGCCAGAGCAGCTTCAATTTGTCATGTGTCACAATGAGACACTGTCTTTTAATATTCAGATCTGGAGTGTTTTGATTTTTGCCTAATGTCTGTTAAAAAGAAATAAATTTCTCTGGTGCATTTTGATGGGAGGCATTGTGGGGGGTAATTCAGTGCATACATCTGCATTCAAGAACTGTTAAATGAGTCTTTTGTAAGTAGCTGTATAATCAGGTGTAAGCAAGCTGTTGGTGTGTCATGTTCAAGCTCATTCTGACAGTGTGTAATACAGGACAGAATGACAATCTGCAGTTTCATTTCCCCCAAAGGTCTCTCATGTCAATGATTCGCAAGAGATCTCACTCCAACAGCAACGTGAGCAAGAAGGAGAAACCTCCTCAGCAGGAGTCAGGTATGGCTCATTCTTTCTCAAGTCATGTGGATTATCTACTAGGTACTGCAGGTAAAGCTAGTGGAAATGAGCTTTGGGAATAGATAGTGTTTGAGATGGTTTTAATTATCAACATTAACTACAGCTCTCCATGTCCCAGCATATTCTGGGAGGGGACAGAGAGGTACTGAGCTCTTCTCCCTGGGATCCAGGGATAGGATATGTGGGAGTGGTTCAAAACTGCTCAAGAAAATGTTCGGACTCAACATTAGGAAAAATTAATTTATGGTGAAGATGATCAAACACTGGAATAGGCTTCCCAGAGAGGTGGCTGATGCCCCAAGCCTGTCAGTGTTTAAGAGGCCCTTAAGAATATGCTTTAACTTTTGGTTAGTCCTGATTGTTGAATGTCCTTTCCAACTGAAATATTCTATTGTATTCTACCACAAGCTTCCTTGAGATCCCAGATAAATCTGTGCAGCCCTCATAGCCATTTCTTTCACCACAACTGACCTGGTGATCAGCATCCAATTTATTTTTAAAAGTGGAAACACTACAGCTGCAGTATGTGCAGGGCTTTGTGCTTCCACTGCTTATCTGGAAGAGGCAGAAGAACAAACCCAACATGCATTAAGCAGAGAGCAGGTTATATACAGCATAATACAGGGAAATTTCCAAACAGCTTCTGGTTTTCAATTTGTTCTGTCCAGAGCCTCTCTGCAGAGCTTGTTTGTTAAATGCTTCAGTTTTCATCCCTCAATTCATATCTTGTGAAATTACCACTCAGAGTTGACTGTAATGCTAATCCTTTAATAACACTGAAAACCTAAAACAAAAAAGAGTCTTGCACTGAGGTGGCTCTGCATGCAAAGTAACAGCTGAAATTGTGTTTTATTGTTGTTAATGGAAGCTGGAAACTTAGTAGGTTGAGAACAGGAGTTAAGTACAGATTTACAAATGATCATGAGTGCCTGAAGAGTCAGAGCTAGTTAGGCAGGCATTGCCAGTTAAATATCCAAGGGTTTTCTTGCTGTTTCTCTCTTCCTTCTGAAACAGCAGGAGTTTGTTTGTAGTGAATTGCTTAACTCATTTGCTGCCACTTAAACAAAGAAGGGGGCTGCAGAAGGGAACCTGGCTGAAATTATAGGTGTAGGATATAACTGTTAAGGGAAAAACTGCTGTTAGCAGACTAATGGTATGTGAGTAATGATTGGTGGATGGAACCAACAGGCAGGAAGTGGGGGAAAGAAAGTATTACCCCTCCCATTTTTCAGGTGAGGAAATGAGGAATGGAATGACTTGGGCAGGTCCCTGGGGGAATTTTTGGGAACTGGTTACCAGTCTGAGAGAAATAAGGCTGTTGGTCTGAGTAAAATAATTAGAGAAGTGACCTTGTACCAAGATCCCTGATGAAGGGTCAATCTTACCTTTCAGTAGAAGTCCAGTTATGGTGCCTTCATTTATCAGGTTTCCTTACCTTGAAGCATCCTAGATGTTTTGATTACACCATTTTGTTGAGACTGCCACAAACAGTGATTGCAGGAGATAGTATGAAATTCACAAGAAGTTCTCTACACCCCATTCTTTCATTATTTATTAGCAGATTTCAACAGTTCTGACCTTTCTTCAATCACATATAAACTGTTTTTTTCTCTTAATAGTTGAGCTGTTCTTAAAATAAAAATAAAAAAGGAGAGAAAGTTCTTTCTTGATCTAGTTATTATATCCAACTCGAGGCTTGTTTTGACCCCTGTTAAGGACTTAGAATGAGTGGTTTCTATCCCATACCACCAATTAAGCTTTTATATTTCAAACAGCCTGTTTGTGAAATTAAAGCCTGACATTAAATCGGCTTAGAATACAGAAACTGCATTTCTATGAATCATCAATAGTACCCTGACAAGTGAGAGAGCAAAAGTCTTTTAAAATGCCTGTTATATAAGGTACAACATGCAGCTTTGAATAGCATCAACCCTATTTCTCCGTGTATTTGCTGTAAGTATTTTCCCCCCCATTTTTGGAATGGCATGTTAAGTGTCTTTTGTTACATTATCCAGCACGCTGATAAGTTAACAAGTATTGTTTAGGTTCATCACACAGCTTCCCATGTCAGCTGAATATTTTGCAGTCCTGATACTAAATCTGTTGAAAAAGCAGCCATTCCCTTTCGTGGTGTTTCAATTTTGCCCTTTACCTTGATGCAGTGTTCTTTAAATGTCTGGGTTTGGTTGAATCTGGGCTGTTGGTGTATCATTCCCACAAGGTTCTCAAACCTGTGGGAAATCCAAGAGATGGTTTGTAGTCTTGTGACAGGTGCACATAAGCCTTGCCATGTGGCATCATCAGCTTGTCCTGTGTCAGTGAAGCTGCAGAACTTTCTGCTGAGTCACAGTGAGGAGACACAGTGCAAGCAGAGCCATATTCTTCAGTCCTTGGTGCTTCAGACTATAGCACTGAGCTTTGGCAATTCCCAAAGAGTTGTAGGAGCTTTGTATTTTTCAGGATCTGGGTCCTGGTTCTGTCCAAACCTCTGCAGTTTGACATTTGTGAAGTCCAGAGCAGGATCCTCAGTGCAGACTGGCATTTTAATCTTGAAGAGCTTGTGACAGTTTAGCTAATAGGGCTGTATCCAGAAACTAGAATTCCTGATAACTACAGCTAAGGTTGCTGGTTTCTGCTACTATAGAGATGTGTGCAGTGTAAGATAATGTGCCTCTTTGTGGTGGGGAGAATGAAAGGTAACAACCCTGTAAGAAAGATTCTGAACAGCCCAGTTATGGGGAGAGGAAAGCCTATACATTTTTGCTTATCCTTTATCTTTTTAAGAAAAGTGGGGAAAAGCATGGATTTAGCTAGTACATGAGCAACATGCATCACACATACAGGCAGGAAGACCTACTGCACATTGAATATTTAGAAGAGCATTGTATATTGAAATGCTGTTGCATCATTAAAACTAATTCATTATTATGGTAACTGGCTGTATATGGCAAGCAAGCTGTTTAGGAAGCTGCTTAGCATGGTTTTTTTTTTCTTTGTACCAGTTCTCTGCAGTTTGTATCTGGAATGTGATATGCTCTTTGGTTTTGGCACAGGTGAAGAAGTTACAGATCTGAAGAGGCAAGCTGTTGAGGAAATGATGGACAGAATTAAAAAGGGAGTTCACTTGAGACCAGTCAACCAGTCATGCAGGCCTAAAACAAAGGTTTGGAATAAATAGCAGAGCAATAATATTAGTGAAGTACAGTAATTTACACTGAAAATAAATCAGACTCTCTGTAAAGCATTCAGAAGAATACGTTTTCCTCGCCTCATTTACTTGGCTTGGTTTTGGATAAAATGAATTAGAGCAGGATATATCTGAAGAATAGAAAAAGAAATGAAGCCAGCAGTAATTAGATGGCCAGTTTCTTTGCCACAGAAAAAAACTTTGTAAACAAACAGCTACTGAGAAACAAAAAGCACAGAGAGAATAATTGACTTGGGTAAAGGGGGTGATCAAGAAATAGACTGTATTTAGCACTATTTCTTCCTTTTATGCAACATTCAGACCTAATACCTGAATGTGGCTGCTTTAAAATACTGCTTACCATCTTCATGAAAGCACAGTCTTTATCTATAGGCTGTGAATCACAGTGCTAAGAGTTGAGAGCTGCTAGCTGTATGCCCAGAGAGGAGGGAGCAGAGGAACAGACCCTCCTGTGAAGTTTGTCTTCAAGTACTGAGTCTGTCATGGTCCATTTCATGCATTTCTTAACTTGCATGTGTTGTGTTTGTTTACAGCCAGAAACACCAAAGCCCTCTGAAAGTGCAATGAAAGAATTAAAAGGGATTCTGGTAAGAGAACTTGCAGTTTATATTTCATTTTCTTCTCTCATTGAGCTGACAGAGCCTTCTGTGCAAAGTTTGAAACTTCTGCATTAGTGTTTTGGTATGAAGCTGTAGCACAGTTCTGCAGCAAATCCTCATTTCCACCTTTGACTTCGGTTTGACTTAAGGATTGGTTTTGGTCTTGCTGCCAGAATTTGCTTCAGAGAAAACTAGTCTGTGAACTCTGCTCTGGGTTTGTATGCTCCTGCCACTAGAGGGGATGTTGTGGTCTGCATTTGCCATAGATCCTTTGGAAACTTTCCAGCTACTCACAGTGGGGATGCTTAGGGATAGAGAGACAGCTGAATATGTATATGTAGTACAAAGTAAAGCCCCTGAACTGCACATGTAATAGATGTAGGGTTCTCCTCATCAACTGCTGCTCTCTCCTGAGGCACTGAATTTCTTAGCATAGATGAAGCCTACATACAGCAAGAGTTGCAGTCAGTCTCATTTATAAATAGAAAAATTTGATTCTGAATACCTGTCCACATAGCCCTCTATCACTAAATAAAATGGGTTTGCCCCTGCTGAGAGCAGTGTGCTGTGTCTGCTCCTGTTGTGTCCTTTAGTCATAGGTTGCATTGCTTTTTTTTAACTAGTTCCTTCTTTTGCACAAGTGCTAAAGTTATATCAGTCAGAAGGAGCAGTAGTTCTTGCTCCCTGACATCTGTAACCCTGAAGCTTTTGAAGTGCAGCTTTGGTGAAATTCTGCCAGTATTGAAGCAAAATATTTCACTTTCACTGTACAGAAGGTAAGGCTAATCATTCCCACCATCCACCACAGCACCTAAATAGCCCTTATAAAAACAGCTTCAGTATTGTGTTGGGTGGTGCAAGACAGTTCAGCAAGGGGTGTAGCCACAGCCTGTGCTGTGATTTAAAATCACAAGTGAGGCGCCAATGATGTGTGCAACTTGCTGTTCTCCAGTCACATGAAAGAAGGGAGGAAATGATCTAGAGAGCCACTAGACCTTAATGCTGAGCTCTGATTAGAAGGTCACATAATTCAATGCAGAGGTAAGCAGAAAAGGAATAAAATGCAACAGGGAGACTGTTTTAAATGGAATACCAGAATTAGAGGAATAGTTGGATATGGTGTGCTGTT